TGAATAGCATGCAGAACCATGAAGGATGATGGTTGGGAAGTAGGCAATGTGAGGCTTGTAAATAAATACAGGTTCACTTAACTGCTGGGCTTTTGGGGTGGGGAGCGGGAAGCGTTTCAAACTTCTGTCACACACAAAGCAAAGTGATGTACTCTTTTAAAAATGGATTTTAGAAGAGGAAGTGGTCAGTCCTTTTAGTAAGCCTTTCTTTCACTGGGTCCTTGTCTTTTTTCTTCCTTTTTTTCTTTCTCCTTCATCTCCTTCCCCTTTCTTCTTCTTCCTCTTTCTTTTTTAGTGCAGATCAAAACAGGACTCTGCCTTTAGACTGCGATTCTCTCTTCCAAAACCAGTGAACCAGACTCTTTTTTCCCCCCAAGACAGGGTTTCTCTGTGTAGCTTTGCATCTTTCCTGGAACTCACTCTGTAGCCCAGGCTGGTCTCAAACTCACAGAGATCCACCTGCCTCTGCCTTCTGAGTGCTGGGATTAAAGGCGTGCACCACAACCACCCGGCTTGAACCAGACTCTTGAATGAAATGTTCCAATGCAGTGAGCTGTGGTTTATTGTAGATACCTATAACTGACGTTAAGGAACCCCAAACTCAAACCATGTGTCCCGCTGATTTGTTGAGGAAACTCTTTGCTGAGATGCTTTTCTGGTTGGCTTCGTCCTCAGAGAAGCACTCGGTGGGCAGAAAGGTGATTTTTGGATATCATTTGGGCAGAGTAGATTTTATACAATTTGTACAGCAGGTGCTCAGTGGAAATGCCAAGCTTGTGGCATGGAACAGAGTGCTGGAAGAAACCAGAGCCCCTGTACCTCCCCAGTCCTGCTCCGTTTCCCAGTGTCCCTAGTCTCTCTTCCTGTCCCCAGTTTAGGAGTCAAAGAGGAAGGAGAGAATGCCCCAGAGCTAGCCTAACTGTGTAGGGAAATTCCCACTTCTTCATGAGCCTCAGAGAATGGGTTCCCTGTCCTCCTGATGCTCCAATCTGTGTCTGTTTCTGGGCTCAGGTCTTCCATTCTGTAGTCCCAGCACACCATCAGGGCCAGTCCAGAACAAGCAGCAGAATGGGGGATGCTAGCTAGAGAACAATATCTAAACTTCAACTTCTTATTCCAACAGGATTCCTTGTGCCTTCAAGCAGTCTGGGAAGTAAAAATAAAAACAAGAACAAAACCACCACCACCACTGCACACACACACACACACACACACACACACACACACACACACACACACACACAAACAAACCAAAAATCCAACTCTACTTTGCAACACAGATTCCCCATGAAGAACACAGGAAAACATATAAGACACCACTGGAAATCCTCTGAAAACCAGAGGCTCTGGTGGAGCATGAATCAGGAACTTGTATTCTAGTTTGCCTTCAGCTGCCATGACAAAATACCAACATGGAAAGAAAGGGTTTATTTGGCTTACACTTCCACATCACAGTTCATCACTGAGGGAAGTCAGGGCAGGAACGTAAGTAGGAACCCGGAGGCAGGAACTGAAGCAGGGATTACAAAAACGGATGCTCACTGGCTTGCTCTTCCTTTCCCCAACTCATAACTCAACCAACTTTCTTATAGCACTCAGAACCACTGCCCAAGGGTGGCACTTCATACAGTGGGCTGGGCCTTCCCATGTCAATTGTCAATCCAGACAATGCCCTGTAGACATGCCTGAAGGCCAACCTAATGGAGGCAGTTCCTCAATTGGGGTTCCTTCTTGCCAGGAGTTTCTAGTTTGTATCAAATTGACAAAAACTAAACAGCACAACTGACTTCACAAGGGAGATGACCAACTCCACAAAAGGCTCATTGATTTCCTGAAAGTCCCTGATGGCTAAGACTGGATTGGAGCCCAGATAGTGTTGTGTCCTATCCATGGCTAAGTGTAGTCAACCCCCAAGGCTTGCATGCCTAGAAAGGATGAAGTGAAAACTGGTGTCCATGAGATTTTAGATTATGTGTGTGTGTGGGGGCGGTTTCCAGGTGAAATGAGGGTTGGGCTGGAGGTCAGTTTAGAGGTGACAGAGCATGAGGAACAGCTTTAAGGACTCACCTGATTGATTGTACAGGCTGGGCTTGGGCACACCAGGGCTTTGGGGGGTTCGCATTACTACACTGTAGTGTTTAGAGAGTCTTGTCTATATTGGAGCCAGAGGCCCAAGGAATCTCCCAACAGAGCTTTTTTTTTCAAGACAGGGTTTCTCTGTGTAGCTTTGCGCCTTTCCTAGAACTTGCTTTGTAGACCAGGCCGGCCTCTAACTCACAGAGATCCGCCTGCCTCTGCCTCCCGAGTGCTGGGATTAAAGGCATGCGCCACCACCGCCCGGCTTCAACAGCGCTTTGAGCCATAGGACATCAAACATGGGGAAGCCTGGCTCCAGCTCCACAGTGGGGTTTCCTCTGGCATGGTCGGTGCTTTAGACCTACCATAGGTGGTGTCCATGCTAAGTTCAAGACCCATGAAGCTATGTGTTTTAAATGGTTCACATTGTGCTGCGACTCTTATCATTTGAGAATGTGGCCTGAGAGAAAAATGGATTCCAATTTGCCCCTTCCATAAGCAGTCACACATCACTTTGGCATGACATGACCTGGAGGGTTGCTCACAAATACTGCTCAAAGGACAGCCCTCTGGCCTGGGTACAAAATGAGACCTTCAGGGAGGCTCTTCCTCTGAATGTTCATAGTATGACTGTGGGGGACCAGCACCCACCTTTTCCTCCGGGGTACTCTTGAAGAGTGAGGGATGAGAGATTTAGATAGAAGGATAGAGGGGAGAGAGACAGATAGAAACACAGGATAGCCTCAGGAGAGTCTGGATCCTTATCCACTGGCCCAGAAGTTTATTCAAGAGGGCTTTTCATAACAGTGCCAAGGGGCGAGGCAAAAGGCCTCCCCCTTGCAGATACAACCAAGTGTAGACCCTTCCAAACACCTGGTCCCCGGGCCCATGGTCCAGTCATCCTTTTATGCAGTCCTGCTGGTAAAGCAAGCTCAGATCTCACTAGGAAACCTCTGTGGGCTCCCACAAGTGATATTGCAAATAGTCACACTGGGCATATTTCTTATCTTCTATTAGATTGCAATGAGGGCGGAATTATTCCATTCTGCTCACATCATTGGGAAGATAGGAAAGATGTTCTATGGCTTGTCCCACCAGCACACCACGCTTTGTCAACTCAGAGCAGCCTCTGGCATGAGAACAACCCTCTCATAGATAGCAGTGATAACAGCACAGAAACTGGGAAGTGACTCTGAAGATTCAGAAGTGAAGAGGAAAGAGCTACCTGTGGGCAGAAAGGAAAGCACTGTGTCTTGTTGCCTGAGAGAATGGCGTCTGCCACATGTTATACTTCTCAAGGCCACAGTAGCCAGATGTGAGAGGGGCAGGGAAGGGGAAGAGGCATGTCCCAAAGTTCCAAAATTCTGGACACAGACTCTGCCAGAATACCTGGTAACCTTTGCACTTATCAGTTCCCTACTTATGCCATACACACAGAATCAGACTTGGACCAGTCCAGGCTTGTTGAGATGAATAGACACTGTTCTTGGAGACAAAGGAATTCAGGCCATCCACAGCACACCATTCAAGGTTTAGGGCACACCAAAATAAAAACACACAAAAAAGCAGGAGCCATGACCTACAACAAGAACGGACTGAGCAGAAACAGTTCAGGAGAGTGTTGTATGATATTTTGTTTGTATTCTGACAAATAAAGCTTGCCTGGAGATCAGAGGTTCCCTTTCGGTCTGAGGATCCAGAGAAGTAAGAAGTCATTGGTGGATGCTCCTATGCTCCTCTAATCTTTCAGGTTATTACCCCTATATTTGACTCCTGGTTTTTATTGATAAGACTAATTAGGATCACACTTCAGGAGCTGTGAAGCTCTCAGTGCCTATGAGGAGGCCAGGAAGGGAAGGGGATGGTACTCTTCTGATTATACACTCCTTCATTTGGCCTCTTTCCTTCCTGTCTTTGCCTTTCAGAGTTAGTCTTATCCATTTGGAATTGGCCTCTTTAAAAAATATTTATGCCTCTTTAAAAAATATTTATGCCCAATGGGCTTGCCTATAGCTAGATCTTATGGAGGCATTTTCTTCTTTTTTTTTAAACTTTTTTTATTTATTCTTTGTGTCTTTCACATCATACATCTCAACTGTATTCATTTCCCCATCCCTTCATATCCACCTTCTGCCCTTGCAACCCCCCCCCACTGCAAATAAAATAAAATTTAAGAGAAAAAAATATTTATTGCAGAATGCAAATATGTATGTCATGTGTGTGTTGGTACCTGAGGAAGTGAGTAAAGAGTGTTGGATCCACTGGAAATGGATTTACAAATGATGGTGAGCGACCATGGAGGTGCTGGGAATTGAACCTGGGTCTTCTGCAAGAGCAACAAGTACTCTTAACCACCAAGCCATCTCTCTAGCCATTTGTTTATTTATTTATTATTTATTTTGGGGCAGAGTCTCACTATGTAGCTCTGGCTGGTCTGAAACTCACAGAGATCCTCCTACTGCCGCCTCCCAAGTGGTGGGATTAAAGATGTGTGGCATACAGTTTTTTTACTTGTTTGTTTGGAGAGAGAGAGAGAGAGAGAGAGAGAGAGTCTCACATAGTCCAAGTTGGCCTCAAAGTTGCTATGTGGGTTAAAAAAAATAATAATAATCCTGAACTTCTGATCCTTGTGCCTATACTTCCCCGTGCTGGGAGTACAGTCATGCACTGTCATGCCATGTTTATGCACTGCTGGGGATCAAACTGAGGGCATTGTATATGCTAGACTATCAGTCCACTGACTGAAACACAGTCCCAGGCCTTATGCACATTTTTTTTTTCTGTAAACCCAAAACTGCTCATAAAAATACATTTAATTATTTATAAAATCTATTTCATAAGAGAAAGTACTGGAGGGAAGTGGGTATTTTGCTAGGTGCCAAGGGCAGGGCCTACTCCATACAACCCTGGCAGGCCTATGTGTGATGGCCACCGCGGTGTGGAAACTGCTGCTGCTGCTGCTGCTGCTCTGGGACGGACCCACATTCCAGAACAGGAAGACAAAGATGACTGTAGCCCACCAGGTGAGCTCAGGCCATGCCTTCCCACTACATGCTTATTAGATAGAAGGCTGGGATCTAGTTCGCACAGGCCTGTGGCAGGGTGGGGAAGCCAGGGCCTCAATGAAGCAGAGGTGACAGGGGCCTGGATCATCTGGGCAGGCCCAGTGGGGAGGGACTTGAGAACACAGACCATGAGTTGCACAATCATAAAGATATCTGAAGATCTACACCCCACTGCTGCATCTGACCCTCATGCAACCCCATGTATCAGTGCAGCCCCAAGGACACAGCAGACTGGGAGAATGCTCCTGAAGGCAGGGTGCAGGGACTCTCCTAGGATCTCCCACGACTCCTTTCTGGGCAATGTGATATCCCTGGTTGCCTTTGTGCACACCCCCAAATCACACAACGCTATTTCCTGTTGATCTGTGATTCTCTTCTCCTCTGCCTTCTCTCCTGTGTGCCCTGGTGTGGCTCCTCACTGACCTCTGGCTGCAGTCAACTTAGCAGTTACCCTGCCTTTAACCTACAGCCAATATGCTGGGTTTTTGTTTTAAAAAGCAAGACAAAAGGGATCTGGGTGGAATGCCCCTGGTCTTCCTCTGCTAGCTCCTGATGAGCTAACTGTGTGACCCTGGGAAAGTGATTGTCTCTGAGAATCAGTTTCTTCATCTGGCATCAGAGGTGAGCCAGACCATGCAGGGTTTGTGTTCAGTCCTTCCGCCTATGCCCTATTGCTCTGCCACTTGGTCGCTCTTCTGTGCCTCAGTTTACCTTCTGTGCACCTGGCCTATAACAGATGCTTTTTTGGGGGATATATATATATATATATATATATATATATATATATATTTTTTTTTTTTTTTTGAGACCAGGTTTCTCTGTGTAGTCCTTGCTGTGCTGGAATGTACTCTGTAGACCAAGACTGACCTTGAACTCAGAGATTTGCCTGCCTCTGCCTCCTGAGTGCTAGGATCGAAAGTGTGCACCACTACTGCTGGACTCACGCTCTCTTGCTCTCTCTCCCTACTCCTCATCCTTCCCTGGTACCATCTACCTTTTCTGTCTTCCCCTTTTCCAGGTCAGACAACATGTCTTGAGTTGAAGGGTAGTTGATTCAAGGAAGCCAGAGTGGGTGGAGGCAGTCTGAATGGAGAATCAGTTCTGGGGCCTGGGTCTGCCCAACTGCCCTGGCGTAGGTAAACAGAATCTGGAAGTTTCAGGGGATCAGAAAGATGTGTGAACACAATTCCAAGTGTCAGAGCGACTGCTGTGTCACAACAGCTTGAACCCATAGAAATTCTGCACCCCCTAGACCGTGTTCTTGCAATGTGTGCCCTGGAGGAAGGTGACTGGGGCCCCTAGTGGCACCTAGGGAGGGAGAGAAACCAGCAGGGGACGCCTTCTGGCCACTCCTACCTGCTTTTGGATGAGCTAGAGGAAGTGGCCCCTGGGGGCGGGGAATAGGGGATCCCCAGGGGAGGTAGAGGGAAGGGGGTCCCTGGCAGCAGAGAATGCTGGTCCCCTGCTCCCTCACAGACAAATGGGCACCTCTGTGAAGAACACTCAGAGTGCCGCAGCAAGTGCTGTATCAGGACCAGCTACAGGCCAAACAAGTTCTGCTCAGCCAAGTCCATCTTCTTGCAGTGTGTATCTTGGCGCAAGGTGAGCATGGAGCAAGGGGACAGGTGAGGGGCCACTCCATGGGGGCGGGGTCCCTGGTGAGAGGGACAGCCTCACTGGGGCTAGATGATATCTGACCGTCTCTCTCCAGCAAGAAGGGGACGAATGCAAAAGCCACTCGGAGTGCTGGAGCCTGTGCTGCCTCCCGCTGAGCGAGAACAGCCCTCCCCGCTGCACAAAGAGAACTGGCCTGCTGGCCTTGTGCCTGCCAGTGGTAAGTTGCCATCCCAACCCCACCTACTGAAGCTGTAGGAGGGGAGGAGGGGGTGGAGGGTTGTGTGTAAAACCAAATCCCACCAACAGAGGGCAGAGTGGCTGCCTGTAGTTAGTGTCCATATCCTCCATAAAGTGGAGGAGACAGCTGGAGCAGACTGGGGGAGAGGGGGGCCACGGTTCCTGGACCAGGCACTGAGCCCTCTGGGTGTGAAGATACACAATGATAAAGGCCTGTTGATCCCACCTGGAGGGACCAGACATTTGCAAGCCAGGAAGCAGCTGGTGTTGGAACTGCCAAGAGCTGGAGCAGACAGAACCAGTCTTCAGACCTACAAGAGTGTGTGTCTGTAACTGTGCATATGCGTTGTATTTGTCTATTTGTCTGCTCTGTCTGTCTGTCTCTGCCTCATAGCTCTGTCTCTGCCTGCCTCTCTCTCTCTGTCTCTCTGTCTGTCTCTCTGTCTCTCTCTCTGTCAGTCTGTCTGTCTGTGGTGTCTATCAAGTAAGGGAACCATTACAACTGCCAAGCAGAAAAGGTCTCCTGACTTCTCTCCTTCTCTTCTACTTTCTACTGGCCCTTAGCGGAGCCAGAGGACAAAAGCTCACAGAACAATGGCCATGGAGACTGGGGGCTTGTGGGAGTCAGCAGCATGACTGTGTGCATGGGCTGCGTGTACCATGGGTGCCATGTGGAGTTAAGTACATATTTTGCTCTTAGACATCATAATACTGTTGGTGCACAGGGGTCTATGGCTCCTAAGGTTAAGAATATGGCACCTGCCAGGAAAGCCCTGCCTGTTGGGTCTGCTTTACCTTGATTACCACGTGGGACATCCTGGCACAGTTTAAATGAAGGAAAGAGTCAGGTAGTCTCATCCACAGTGTCTGTGCCTAGACAAGGGTGCTGTGGTTAGTGCTTAGGATCAAGCCCATGAGATTTTTCTCTCTGATCTTTGCTGTCCTTTAGTGAATGAACATGAGCTTGTGCGACACAGAACTAAACCTGGACTTCAGAGAACAGAGAGTGCTCTGCTCGCATCCATACTGTTCCGTTCTTTGGGTTCTGGAAATCTGTAGGAATTAGAGATGTCTGTTGCTTATCGCTAATATGGACTTGAGTCCTACAGCATGAAGCTTCTGGGAACAAATCATGGGATTGCTGCAAAATTACTGCACATAAATAAAAACTACTGATTGATGAGGAAGTACCTTGTCCAGCCAATGTTTTTTCAATAATAAAAGCATGAAAATCTTTAGAAACACTGAAGACCCATTTGGGTCTGCTCAGCTCTATAGCATTATTACCTGTGGAGAGTGAGACTGAGGCAGAACTTTCAGGATGGCCACTGCACCAGCCCCTGCCATCCTGCAGCAGTCTCCATGACAAAGCTGTGATCATGCATTTTGTCACTGGAGGTAAACATAAGTTGGCCATCCCAAAGGAAAAATTTGCCTTGAACAAACTGCCTGTATGTATATATGGCTATACTGTATAACACAAGCTAGTCCCGGCCCCAGGGTCACCCATGCTGGACTTTCCAGAGCACCAGACCTGTTTCCATATAGGCTGTCTTTATTTGGCAGCTTCTCCAATGTGAGCTGCTGAGGTCCTCCTTGCCCTCCAACCCTGACCCAGGTTTACCTTTGCTGCCCACACTTGTCCATGCTGAGCTGGCTGTGCCTGTGTGCCCCTTCCTTCTTCCTCTCTTCCTGATGAGCCCTCTGTGGAAGGGGGTCCTTCAGTTCCCTTTGGCTCATGAGTCCAACACCTGCTTGATATTTTCCTAGACCTCTCATATCTAGTGCCCTGGACCTCTGCCATGTTTCACTTTGGCTGCTGGGTTTTTGAGGGGACTATCCCAGTCTCTGGTCTTCCTGTACTGTCTGGTCCTTAGTGTCTTGTGCCCATCTCTGACTTTTCCTGCGCATTGCTGAGGAATGTGGAGATGATAATATGAACAAGGCTGCTGTTGGGATCACCAAAAGAGTTTGAGATGTTGATGTCCTTCTTCAAGAAAATGGTTCAAACACAGGATGTGGCCCAGCCTGGCCTGCTCAAGGCTTAAGTTCAAACCCCAGTACCACAAAAGAAGATGACTTTTGGTTATTAGCTTAATATTAATATATTTATTACATCAACTATAAGACAAACTATATAAATGTATAATTTCAAAGTGGTAATATACAATTTTTAATACTTGCTGACATTTCTAGGACATTTTATTGATTGATTGATTGACTGATTGATTGATTGATTTTTTGAGACAGGGTTTCTCTGTGTAGCTTTGCGCCTTTCCTGGAACTCACTCTGTAGCCCAGGCTGGCCTTGAACTCACAGAGATCTGCCTGCCTCTGCCTCCCCAGTGCTGGAATTAAAGGCGTGCGCCTCCTCCGCCGCCGCCGCCCCCCCACCCCCCCCCCCCGGCTCTAGGACATTTTATTTCCAACTTTTTGGCTTCATCATCTTTAACCATACTTACAAAATAGCATTTTTGGGCCAACAAGATGGCTCGGTGAGTAAAGGCACTTTCTGCCAAGGCTGACAACTTGAGTTCTATCCTTAGGATCCACAATCTACACATACATACTCTCTCTCTCTCTCTCTCTCTCTCTCTCTCTCTCTCTCTCTCTCTCTCTCTCACACACACACACACACACACACACACACACACACACACACACACACACGGGCACACGGGCACACGGGCACACGGGCACACGGGCACACGGGGGTAAGGGATGCCTTCCTCCCAGTGAAATAATGCAAGACTAAATGAATAAAATATCATTTTGTGATGTCTTCTAATGAGAGAAAAGAACATTAGCTTAGTCTTTCCACTGAATAGACTGAGGTTACCTCGCTCTCGGATGAATGTTTCTCAACATATGTAACTTGGGACTCAGTGGTTAACGTTACTGGAACAACCCTGAGGACCCTGTGATGGCTGTTCTTGGTTGTCAACTCGACAACATGAGGAATCAATTAAGACCCAAACGACTAGGCACACCTGTGAGAGGTTTTATTTGTTTGGTTGGTTGGTTTTGGTTTTTTAAGAAAGGGTTTCTCTGTGTAGCCCTGGCTGTCCTAGAACTCTATCTGTAGACCAGGCTGGCCTTGAACTCACAGAGATCCACCTACCTCTGCCTCCCAAGTGCTGGGATTAAAAGTATGCACCACCATGCCTGGCCCAAGAGATTTTTTTCCTAATTAAATAATTTGAAGTGGGAAGACCCACTTCTAATCTGGATCTTTGAGGTGGGAAGATCCACCTTTAATCTGGACCACACCTTCTGCTGGCAACATATACAAAGGACATGGAAGATGGAAGCTTGTTCTCTTTGTCAGCTTGCTCTCGGTCTTGCTAGCAAGTGCATTCCTTCACTGACATTAGAGTCTACTTCTTAGGAATGCTGGTGTATCCTGAAGGCTGCTAAGGCATCCAGCCTCATGGACTAAACAATTACTGGATTCTTGGACATTTTGTTGGTACACAGCCATTGTTGGACTAGCTGGACCACAGCTTGTAAACCACTCTAAAAAATACCTCCACCTCTCTCTCTCTCTCTCTCTCTCTCTCTCTCTCTCTCTCTCTCTCTCTCTCTCTCTCTCTCTCTGTGTGTGTGTGTGTGTGTGTGTGTGTGTGTGTGTGTATACATGCATGTATCTTCTGTTCTTCTAGAGAACACTGACTAATACAGTCCCTAATTCAAACGCCAATACCCATAAAGAACCAGGTGAAGACTTGTGCATTTCTTTTTTTTTAATATTTATTTATTTATTATGTTGTTTATTTATTATGTTTACAGTGTTCTGCTTGTATGCATTCCTGTAAGCCAGAAGAGGGCACCAGATCTCATTATAGATGGTTGTGAGCCACCATGTGGTTGCTGGGAATTGAACTCAGGACCTCTGGAAGAACAGACAGTGCTCTTAACCTCTGAGTCATCTCTCCAGCCCCGACTTGTGCATTTCTGTAACCTAATGCTGTGTGGAGCAGAGGCTGGAGGATCACTGGGGCTTGCTGCCTGCCAGAATAGCCAAAATACATGGGCAGAGTGACAGAAGAGGATACTTATGGCCAGCCTTGGGTACATAGTAAGTTCAAAACCAGCTTTGGATAAACGAGACCCTGTCTCAAAACAACAACAAACCAGTGCCCCACAGATGAATGTTAGGAAAAAGAGCAGGCTTTGATAGGGGTGCTAGCAACCCAAAAGGGAGGCTACTGTAGCCTCAAGTTCTTTTCAGGTCCTTATGGATTATCATGTGAGGATCAGTCAGGGCCAATATGCAAAAGAATCTGTCAGCAGGTTAGGGTTCTGGTGCTGACTGGTTGGTAATCGGTTGGTAATGGTGTCCTCTTAAGGGCAAGACAGCCTGTGGGTCAATTTGATGGTTAATACCTGGTTTGAGGAGTTTGTTTTTTGTTTTGTTTTTGAGACAGGGTTTCTCTGTGTAGCCCTGGCTGTCCTGGAACTCACTCTGTAGACAAGGCTGCCCTTGGAACTCACAGAGATCCTCCTGCCTCTGCCTCCTCAGTGCTATAGTTAAAGGCATGCACCGCCCCCCGGCCTAGTTTTATTTTTTTTTAAAGCAAAGTCACAGGACTACAGGATGAAAACCGTGACCTGAAAGTGTAGAAGACACAGGAGTAAAGCAAGAAGGCACCCTGAGCCATAGGCTTTCGATGTTTGCTTTAGAAATTACCTCTAGTGAGTTTTAACCAGTTCAAGACCCTTGCTGTTCCACACACAGCCACGAGATGGTGCTGTGGCCTTTGCAGAGCAGAAATACCTTGGCAGGAAGGCATCTGAGAAAAAATAAAACACAGGCAGCGGCAGAGCAGACTCCCCTTGTGCCCAAGCTTCTCTGTGAAGATCTGCCCCATAACACTTGTTTTTCCTGCTGAATAGCTTCAGCTCGAGCCAAGTGGGTTGTAAAACAAACACAAGGAAGAAGGGGGCCATAGCTCTGCGGAACCCCAGGCTGGAAGCCTCTGAGGACAAAGTCGCCACAGGCATTGTATCTCTGCAGTCAGAGGTCAGGGTGAGGGTTGAGACAGACGATTGGTCCATGGAAAGTGAAAACTGGTGGGCTGTTTCAAGATGCAGCAGGCTGGGTGATGATGCTGATCCCTGGAGAGCCTGCCCAGGGCAATTGTACCTCAGAAGTGCTTTATGGTTTTAATAATATGGTGGTGGAAAATGGGGGTGGCTGTTGCTCAGCACATGTTTTATTCATGTCAGGAAAGACTGAAGTCTACAATTAGCATCACAGCTTAGCAGGGCCACTGGTTTGTCCTGTGGGGTTACCACAAGAGCCCAAGCTGCCAGGTCACAAGAAGGCAAGGCTGGTGAGGCTGCTGCAGGAAGAGGACTGGTTCTGGGAGGCACCCAGGGGCCCCTCTTGCAAGTTTAGAGCTTAGTGTGAAGGTGGAACTGAAAAATCTACTTGTTGACTAGATGAGTGAGGAAAGACCCCAGGCAGCAATGAAAAAGAGCATGTGAGTTTATCAGATACCATGAGGTAGACGCTTGAGGTAGGAGTTGCTTAAAGGCAACCTGGGAAGTTACTCAGAGCTTTGATAGCCTCTTAGGGGTAAGTAGAGTCTGGTAGCCCCAGTCCACTGCAGAGCACTCAGACTTGGGGAGTTTTTTTTTTTTTTTTTTTTTTTTTTTTTGGTTTTTCGAGACAGGGTTTCTCTGTGTAGCTTTGCGCCTTTCCTGGAACTCACTTGGTAGCCCAGGCTGGCCTCGAACTCACAGCGATCCGCCTGGCTCTGCCTCCCGAGTGCTGGGATTAAAGGTGTGCGCCACCACCGCCCGGCCAGACTTGGGGAGTTTTATAGCTGGGGCACAGATGGGGGGACCTCCAGTCTTCACTCTCAGCACCTACGAATAAAGTGGGTGTTGTTTGGGGGTGACTTCATGCAGTCGCAGCAGCTGGAGGAGTACTGATCACCCCTCCACTTCTAAGAGAGCAGGTTTCTGCCGCAGCATCAGCTACTTCATACAGACTGCAGTTTGTTTCAGAGGTCTCTTGCCTTTGCTGCTACCCACTGGATCCAAGACAATGTCTATCCCCTCCCAGTGACATTTCATCGTGTCCTAGCCCAGCCCCACAGCTCCTTTGTCTCCACAGAAGTAGCTGCTGAGGAGGCTGTTGGCAGAAGGCCAGCTGCAGGCAGGTCAGTGGGAGGGGAGAGTCACACACGGCATGGGCAGCTGTGGAGTCTAATGGGCCAGTTCTGTTTCCCTGTTTCTCCTGAGGCTGACTGGGCACGTCCAGACTTGCCTTGAATTATAGTTCTGTTGTAAAATCCCTAATTCCAGTGACTTAGTTGATGCATTCTTTGCCAAGGGTCATCACCAGCTGTGTTGTGTCCTCATTGCAAGGATACTCACTGGGCCCAGGTTTTCACAGAGATGCCCAAACAGCAGAAAGTAATGTGATTCTTGTCCATCCAAGGCAATCATCCAGAAAGGAGTGTCCTACCTGAGAGTCAACACCACACTAATGAGGTGCCAGTACTCGGTAAGGATCCGTGAGGATCCTGTTTGAGCTTGGGGCCACTCTTCCCTTGCTCAGCCCTTGAGGAAATGTGTCTCTTGGCTGTCTGTCCACATGACCCCCTTAGACATATGGATGATCTTAGCTATAGGACACCCTTGACTGGTTGCTCACACCTAATGGTGAGTTCTGTGGCCTCTTGAAGTGGTTCTGCAAGGCCCTGGCAGTCCTGTGGCATTTGAACAGGGCCCTATGAGCAGCCCCCAAACAAACAAACAAAAAAAATCCTTAAAAAAAATTAAAAATAAAAAAAAAAGACAGGGCGTCACTGTGGAGCCCTGGCTGGCTTGGAATCCACCTTCCTCTGCCTCTACTGAGATCAAAGGAATATGTGATCACACCTGGTCAACAAAATATTTTTTTCCTTTCTTTTTTTAAATCCCACTCATTTCCCAGTCCTTCCACACCCACCCTCCACCCTCGCAACTTTCCCCAAAAGAAAATAAAAAATTAAAATTAAAACTAACAACAACATCTTGCTGACACCTCTGGGCAGTGACCTGCTCCTTTATCTACTGCACCTCCTCTCACACCCATCACAGCTGTCCGTCTCCAGTTCCGCTACGCAGAACTGTCTTTCCTGCCTCTCCATCACATAATTATTGTCGTAGTGGCATTGGAAGCTGTGATGTGTCACTCAGTAAACCCTTTTGCCCAAACAGCTTTACTTGCAAATGTTTATTGCAATGAGTCATTGGTCTGGTTCAAGGTCTCTGGCTTCTGCTACACCATCAACACTGGACTCTCACTGAAACTCTTCTCGGGTATTTTGCTGTTGCTCAGAGTCATGGTGATCCTGAGGCTATGGTTCTGCAGGACGGACCCCTTCACACACTTCAGCAACTCATAGAGGGGGTAGGTGTTGGGGTGGGCCAACTCAAAGGCCTGGATCTGGGCCTGGGTGGTAGCTGAGTTGGTCAGCCTACTCTCTACCCTCTGCCTCGCCCCACCAGCTCTCCCCTGCTGGTACTTTCTCCTTGCTGTGGTCATTGAGAGGCAGGGCCAGCTCAGCATGGCCCTCATCATGGCTTCAGGTGACAGCCCAGACCACAGACATCCGCATGGCCCTCGGTGGCAACAGAGGCCACGGACATCAACATAGACCCTGGGGGCAGTAAGGCATGGACCCAGACATGGCCCTCAGTGGCAGCACAGGTCCTGGATATCACCATGGCCTCAGGCAGCACAGGTCTCTCACATCAGCCTGTTCCTCACCACTGTTGAATCTCCAGTTCTGCCTCTCTCTGCAACACAAGAACTGCCCCACTTATCTTTTTCTCTCATCTCTCCACCACATACTTGCTCATCGTAGTGGCACAGAGGGCAGGCCTCTGGCTGTCTCACCAAGTATTCTTGATGCCCAGATGTTGGAATCACTCTGATGAAGCAGATAAGGAAAGCAGATGAATCTCTGTTTGAGGCCAGCCTGGTCTACGTATCAAGTTCCAGGACAGCCTGGTCTACAAAGAGAGACCCAGTCTCAAGAAACAAAAGATGAGGAAGGGCAAGTGCAGTCTCATCTGATCCAGGGGACCCTGGGAGGAAGCACATAGCTGAAAGATCAATCTGAACCATGACTTTCTGGGATACAGGGAACGTTCCCCTCTGCTACCCAATCCGTAGCATCACTGTGTTCATGACGCTTTCATTCTGGGGCTTGGGTAGCATGTGGTTGTAGAGCACTAACAGTTATTGTCAGCAGAGCAGCCATGACTATTTGCAAGAGACCTCCAACATCTGGGTTGTTGATTGCTGATATTTCCTCACAGAAGGAAGGGGACAAGGAGGGTCACTGCCCTCCCGTTCTAGGTGCTCACTCTTGCGCCTCTTCACCATTTCTATGTAATTTGCCCTAACTGAGCATGGCCTAGTGGTTTAGGAAGGTGCTGGGGTATAAAAGCTGGGAAGATCAACCACAGGGCAGCCCATCTATGCAGCTCTAAGTTGTTCTTTTGAGTTCTCATTCATGTTAGGATTTTCTGGTGATGCAGCCACTTTAAGGCACCCCTTATTCTGTAAGAAAGCCCAAGGACTCTGGTGGAACCCTATTTTGGTTTGTCATTGGAGTCCTATCACCCAGGCCTGACATTCAGCAAGGTGACCTGATTAAGACTTCACTTCTGGGCTGGAGAGATGGCTCAGAGGTTAAGAACACTGCTTGCTCTTCCAAAGGTCCTGAGTTCAATTCCCAGCAACCACATGGTGGCTCACAACCATCTGTAATGAGATCTGGCACCCTCTTCTGGCCTGCAGGGATACGTGCAGACAGAACACTGTATATGTAATAAATAAATAAATCTTTGAAAAAAAAAAAAAAGACTTCACTTCCAAACCCAGGCCACAGTGACAATAACACCAAGTCAGATGTACAGGTGGGTCCTGAGCTTCATCTGCATGTGCAGGTGGCAGGATCCTGCACAAATGTGGAAGAAGGCCACTGACTACCTCTAACCCCAAGCATTCTAAGTTTCATTTAATGGACAAAGGGTTAACCTGGTTCTGCATGGTGCTAAACAGTCGGGATCAGATATAACTACATGTGGTAACATGTTCCCAGGAGCTGCAAGCCTCATGCACAAAAAGTGAGAACTTGAAGGGTGGGTTCCATGCAGAAAACCTGGCAAACTCTGGTAATATGGGCTGCTATGGCCAGAATGGTGAGGGTTCATGTGTCACCTGGGCCAAGTTGTAAGGTCAGCAGAGTTCCACGCAGATGGGGGTGTGTGTGTGCAGCAGAGGTGCCACCCACAAAAACACAGCCCCAAGGGAAACAAGGGGGACGGTGAGCAGCCCCACACTGTCTCAGGATGTCCCTGAGGCACTTTGAAGCCCAGAGCCTCCTACCCCAGGGAGGGATACAGACAGTGAGATAGATACCTGCCTCAGAGCCACACAAGACACTGGACCACACTTCATCCAAATCAAGGCTGTATTTATCACTGTTGATTGACATGAAAACAGACTGTTTAAATAACCAGAGTCCACGGTGGAAACACAAGGCCAGCAGGAAGGGACCGAACAAAGCAGACAGGGCTGCTGTATGTTGATTCAGCACAAAAGTGGTGGTCAGGAAACCAAAAAGGACAGCTGACAACACATGGAAAAAGCTTGAGAGGGTCTGAATGCAAAACCAAAGCCAAAGGAGCTACTACAGGCCTAGTGGTGGGAGTGGGGACCGGGAGGGAGGGCAGCCCTCAGACAGATGCTGGGGTACAGGAGGAAGAAAACCAATCTTTTTCTCGGAACCAACTTCTAAGATTCTGTCTGGCTTACACAGATCCAAAGAACACTGCACTAAGGTTAGCACATGGGCGCAGGTCTGTCCTCATAACTAGAGAAATTCCTGAAGTCTGCTTCAGTCTAAGCAGATGCCCAGAAGTGTGGCTCTCTGGGAGGTCCAACCACCCTACAGGAAGCTCAGACGCTGTCTCCCCTACACATCCTGTCTTGCCTCTGAGGCTTGCATAGTTGAAGGGTAGTCGCGGCAGTTACTCTGCTGAGAGAGTTCACAACTGACAGCCCGAGTGGGTTTTTGTGACCACGTACACAAATAACCAGAGGGGTTTCTAGAAACTTGTTATAGACTGTCCAGGTTAAGAATTTAATAAGTTTTATAATTATATCAACAGAATATTTACATTTTTTTCTAAAAAACAAACCAAAGAAATCTTCTTACACCTATGCATAATAGAATAAGGCAGAAAACCCAAAGTTTTGTACATTATTATTAATTATTATGTTAATATATATCTGTAACTTCGGTTCCAAGTACCAAGGGAAGGCCAGAGCCGGGCCTGAGTGCGGAGCCTCACAGTGCGCTGGACAGAAAGACCGTTTCTTTCCATAAATAAGACAAACTCTGGGGCTCAAATGGGATCTGAGAAGTGAAACTGTAAATCCCAACTAAAAATTCTTTTTTTTTTGGTTCTTTAAAATGTCGTTAGAGCACAAAATTAAGAAAAATACAAAACCATTAAAAATGCTTGTCACCTGGGGGAGAGGTGGGGAGGTACAAAGCTAAATTTTTCCCAGTGACCTAATCGCAAGCTCGGAAAATGAAGTCACCCCCAGAAAAGCGTAAGGTCCTCGACTACACAAGCAAGCCGCAGCGTGGAGCGAGCTGCGCTGCTCCTGGACTCGGGGAACTGTGCTCAGGTCCCAGGAATTTAAGTGAGCCAGTCCACTCCGCTGGAACTACCGCGCCTCCACTTCAGGTGGGTTGCACGCCGCGGGAGAGTAGTCGCGCGCCTCGCCAGGCCCGAGCGCCAGCGGCGTCGTCCTGGGGCGCGCGGGTGGCGTGGACACCCCGCCTGCAGCCACCAGGGGAGGAGGCGCACCGAGTGCGGCGGCAGCCGGCGGGGTCCGGGCCAGGAGTACGCCGTGCAGCGCGCCAGGAGTCAGGCGCGGGTAGTGCATCGCAGGCAGGAGCGAGGCGTCTGGGTCGGGGGCGCGTGCGCGCTCCAGCTCCTCCCGGCGCACGTCCCGCAGGCGGTCGGGGCTGTAGTCGTGAGGCTCGCGGTCGCGGTAGGCGCGCTCAGAGAGCTCAAAGGGAGCGGAGCCCACAGCGGACGGCGGGGCGGGAAAGGTGCGGCGCGGAAGTTCTAGGCCCCGGTAGGTGTCGCGCGGCGGGTCCCACACGAAGCCCGGCGTGCCCAGGCCCAGATGTGTGGCTGTGGAGTGCACGCTGACGCCCGTGAGCTCTGGTGTTTGGTCTTCCCTGCGCTCCTCCTTTACCTTCACGTCGCCCTGGGGCCGCTCAGGCGTCTGCTTCCCGGACTCCCGACCCAACAGGCCTGCCAGGCGCAGGCAGTCACCCAGGGCTGCCTTGCAGTAGGGCGATGGAGGTCGTGCAGCCAGTTTGGCGCCATCCTCTTTGCCAGGTGAGTGGCTCTCCTTGACCCGAGGCTCAGCCTCGCGGTCTGTGAGGATCCCAGGGCGGCCCAGCTCACCAGGGCCCCGCTGCAGGAGGCTGCTGATGGGGTGGCCCACTGGTGCTGCAGGCGAGCCATGGCTCAGCAGGCGTGTCTTCTCCAGGAGGTCCCTGGGGACGACAGGATAGAGCCATCACCTAGAGCAGCTATAGCTCCTAGAAAGCTGTTTGTCAGGTTCCTGCTGTGTGGAGCCTCTGCATCCTGGGCTCCAGGGCTTGTCCAGTGTTACAAGTACCCCAGCTGTGAACACACTGTTGATAATAGGAAGCTCTGACATCTCTTCCCTGGGGTGGGGGCTAGGGGAGGCAAGGCAACATGGCTACCCCAATCCTGGAATTCCCTGCTCAAAAGTAAGCATTCTCAGGCTTAGGGGTGTGCAGTTGCTTTCTGGTCATTTGAGGGTCCTGAAAACACTCCTCTACACCAGTTTTTCTGGTACGGTCCCCAGCTGTGCCTACAGCAGGCTCTTCTCCCACATTTGCTCCTAGTATAGAAGTCTGGGGCAGGCCCCGGGCTGTTCTCACCGAGTTTAGTCTGTCACACTGGCCAGCTCTGCTCTCACCAGGCAAAGGACCCTGAGCCCCAGAGCCTGACCTCAGAGAGCACCCTAAGGAGGACTGTGCCTGCTGCAGGAACTGCATGGATCAGAGTAGGCTTTACCTCCCATGGAGAGGCCCCTGATCTTCCGCCCCACCTTCAGTTACGTCCTCAGTGCTGACAGTGGGCTGCAGCACATGTATAGGCCTGAGGCCACCCTAAGTTCTGGGTACTCTGACCCACACATCTGCTTGGCACCTTTACTCCCATGTAAGCTCTTCTTTCCAACCGACTTCTGCTACTACGGAAAGCAGTCTGTGGGGTAGCCCTCACCCCACAGACTCCCAGGACTCCCAGTACCTGACTTTGACCTGACTTCAGATCAGCAGTCTCCCAGACGTCACTGGGTGTGGACTTTAGTCCTAGCACTAGGGAGGCAGAGGCAGAAGGATTTCTGTGAGTTCGAGGATCACATGGGGAGATTGTATAGGGAGCTGGAACTCACTATGTCTACAAGTCTCCCCATCTCAAAAAAAAAGAAAAGAAAAAGAAAAAGAAAAGAAAGTTCACTTGTTATTCCCATGAAATATCCCCATCCTTAATGCAGAAGAAGTAGACACCCAAAAGGTACACTGCTTAGGGTTTATTGGGCTTTGGGACATACTGCCTCGGGCAACTCCTAGGAGCATCAACCAAGCAGGTTTTGACCCAGGGATGCCTGTTAAAAACACCCATTATATTGATTTTAGTAGCCTATACCTTTCCCAGATATAACGCACAGCCGAAGTGCACCCCTATCAACAAGAGCCTTGTATTGGGGACATCTATGGAGAAAGGAACCCTGAAGCTCTCAGTTTGCCTCCACCTGGAGGCCTTTCCTCTCTGCTAGTATTTAAGCCAGGGAGGTCTTTATTTTTGTAAAGTAGGTCTTTACACACAGCTCCCTCAGAGCCCTCAGGGGAGTCTAGCCATGGTTCCTCTGCCAGGTCAGTACCCTGGAGTCTGGTTAAGAAATTGTGGGGTACTGACTTACCCAGGAACCACAGCTCTGCACAATGCCAACATTGGAGGCATTAGGACAGGTGAAGGGAAGGGCTGGTGCAAGGAATAGGGTGGGGTGGAGTAAGGACTGGGTGGGTGTGGGTGTATATGGAAAAAGTGGGAGGAGAAGGGGCGGGCAGAGTCAGGAACAATGTAGACCTGAGGGGTTAAGGACCTAAAAACTGAGAAACTCCAGACAGGAAGGCTGGCATGTTGATCCAGGAAGTGTCTGATAGAAACAACCTGCACTGGGACCTTCCACCCTAAAAGCTCCGTTTTCTACCTTATAAACCCCCAAGCTCCTGAGCCTGGGCACCCAGTCTCCACTCCCACAGAGAGTGCTGCTCTCCATGTTCTGACTGAAGGCATCTGCTTCTGTAGAAGTCAGTCTCCTCACTTTTATGTTGCCTTGCTCAATCTAGAGCTAACATTTGGTGCCGAAACCCAGGGGGCTTGGGGGTCCTACACCCCTTCCTCTGAGTAACCTTTCCTCCTGCCCCTTAGCCATCTCCCTACCTTCTCTGACACCAGTCTCACCCAGGGCTGCTTACCTGGCATACTACCTGAAACCTTGGGTCTTTGTGGCCTTTGTCTTCATATGCAGTGCAAGCCACGTTCTGAGGTTTTAGTGGTGTGCCATATAAACTCAGTTTGACTCTTCCTGATCTGCCCACCCCCTCTCGCCATCTACCGACCTCTAGAGCAAAGGCCTTTTGCCATTCCCCACACCAGGGCATCCAACATCCACACATTAAGGTAAAATCCAGGTTGAGTTTACAAGCGCCCTCAACTGACATCTCAGAGGTCCTCCAGCTTCCTGCCTCTGGCTTTGCCTGCCAGGTCACTGTCATTGGGGTCAATTGTTTCCAGTCCCTCTCTGGTTGTAGGTGACCACTTATAACCAGAAACAAGCTTCAACTTACCTGGCCTAAAGTAGGGTATACAATATCCATTCTAGGCACTTTTGGCTTGCCTTAAACCTTTAGACATTAGTAAGCCTGTTGACTGAGGTCTGGACCCAACACAAATTGGATACTACTTTTGGCTTTCAAAGTCTCCCCGACTCAGAAAACTTCGTAAGATGGAGGGGCAACAGTTCTGCAAGTCTCTTGCCTCCCTCCATTCCTGCATATCAGGTTTCTCTGTGTGTAGCCCTGGCTGGCCTGGAACTCTCTCTGTAGACCAGGCTGTCCTCAGATCTCAGAGATCTGCCTGCCTCTACCTCCTGAGTGCTGGGATTAAAAGCATTCGTAGCCCATCACACCTAATTCCCGAAACTCTTTCTCAGACGCTAATCTGACTGATGAGGCCCCTCCCTATCAAACTTTTCTCCCATTCTGCCTCTGTGTCACAGGGATGATCTGTGAAACACAGATCTCTTTTCTTTGACACAAAAGGTCCAATTAAGATCTGGGACCTCTTCCCCCCAAGGGACCCCATAAATCCTGCCCGGTTCAGTTCTGGTCCAAAGGATTGTTGAAGGTTTTAAATTATCCCAGTTGTGCCACAACAGAATCTTATCTGCTTTGGTGCCAAACAGGAATTGCTGGTACCCTGCCCACCCCCCATCCTGAAATTGGGCTGGTAACATTCCTTAGGGAGATTCAGAAGTTACTCTTCACCTGGAGATAAACATTTAAAAAAAAACAACAACAAGCATCTTTATCTCTTTTTCCTTCTCCTGTCTATTCTGCAACTCTGAGGGAGAAATGCTGTGATCCATCTACTACACCTGCTACTCTATCAGCTACCTATGGACCCTGCTTCCTCAAGCCAAGACTATGACATTCTTTCCTGTTCATTTTGCTATTTTAGGCTCTTATGCCACAGGTACCATCTCCTCCTGTATCCATCCACATTAACTAAAGTGTCTTCTTAAAGAAAAGGGTGTAACAATACACACGAACTGAGAGATGGTGGATCCCACTGGGACTTGTGCTCTGGTGGGGGATGGGCTCACCTTGAACAGAAAGGAATCATGTGGTTTGCCGCCATCCAGCTGGTGACCTCATTAAGATGGAAGCAACTGTGTGAGTTGGCCACCATCTTTGCTAATGATATCATAAAGTAGGCAAATGTCATGTGACCTTGTTGCCATCTTGGTTAATGTAATCACATGGCATCAACAAAAATAGAAGCATCCATAAAACTCCCTGGTACTTCTAAGTCCTCTGGGGATCACTGCAGCCCTTTTATGTTAAATTATAGAGGTAATTGATGAACCAGCCTGCTTCCATCTTGGGCTTGAAAGCCATCTTTAAAAAAAAAAAGTCAGCCGGGCGGTGGTGGCGCACGCCTTCAATCCCAGCACTCGGGAGGCAGAGACAGGCGGATCTCTGTGAGTTCGAGGCCAGCCTGGACTACCAAGTGAGTTCCAGGAAAGGCGCAAAACTACACAGAGAAACCCTGTCTCGAAAAACCAAAAAAAAAAAAAAAAAAAAAAAAAAAAAGTCAATGAAATGATCCCTAATGATATTCTGCTATACTCATAGATTGTTGCCTAGCCCAATGGTCATCCGAGAGGCTTCACCCAGCAACAGATGGAAACAGATGCAAAGACCCACAACCAAGTATTAGGCAGAGCTTGGAGAATTCTGTGGAAGGAGGAGGAGGAAGGATTGTAGGAGCCAGAGGGGTCAAGGACATCACAAGAAAACCCACAGAATCAACTAAACTGGGTTCCTAGGGGTTCACAGAGAATGAACTGACAGCCAGGGAGCCCGCATGGGACTGGCATAGGCTCTCTGCATATATGGTACAGTTGTGTAGCTTGGTCTTCTTGTGGGACTCCTAACAGTGGGAGCAGGGGCTGTCTCTGACTCTTACCTGTCTGCTTTTGGGACCCTTTCCCCTACCGGATTGCCTCGTCCAGCCTTAACAGAAGAGGAGGTGCCTAGTCTCACTGCAACTTGATATACCATGGCTGGTTGATATTCATGGAAGGTCTGCCCTTTTCTGAAGAGAAATGGAGAAGGAATGGATGGAGGCGGGGAGGTAGAAGAGAGGGACTGGGAGGGGAAACTTCAGTCAGGATGTAAAAACAAACAAAATATCAAAGGGAGATACAATAAAAAATAAATTAAGAAAAACTAGGTTCCTTCCTGTTTATGATCAAATCTGTTTCTCAAAGATTGGGCTATGCCTAATCTCTAACCTAACTACAAATGGTTCTGTACTGCCTGCTCCAGGAAACAGCAACCATGTCTTTGTTTCAAAAGGTTATTAATGACCACCTTGTTATGTTCTGCTCCTGTAACCCTGCCTCTGCCTACCAAATCCCTCATTTGGAAACCCCCTTCCTCTGAGCTATAAAAATCCTTATCTTGCCCATGTCCAGTGCTGACCTCTAAAACCCGCCTTAGCGGGGAGATAGCCTGTGTAGATGAATAAAAAAAGCTTGCTTTAATTAATTCTTTGGGCTGGGTGATGGTGGCCCACTCCCTTAATGCCAGCCAGCATTGGGAGGCAGAGGCAGGTGGATCTCTGAGTTCAAAGCCAGTCTGGTCTACAGAGCGAGTTCCAGGACAGCCAAGGCTACACAGAGAAACCCTGTCTTGGAAAACTCAAACAAACAAACAAAACAATCCAGTAACATCAGATGTCTAAGGAGGCATATACATCTATATATAGATATGTGTGTGTATACATACATACATACATACATACATATATATATATATATACATTTTAATGTTGTCTTTATTTTGACAATGTGGTGATCTGAATAAGAATGACCCCCATTTGCTCATATAGGTGTGACTTTGTTGGAGAAATTGTCATTAGGGTGGGCTTTGAGGTTTCAAAATCCCATGCCAGGCCCAGGCTCTCACTCTCTTCTCTGTACTTTCGGATCAGGATGTAGCCCTCAGCTACTGCTCCAGTGCCATGCTCTGTACCATGATGATAATGGGCTAATCCTCTGAAACTGTAAACAAGCCCTCAATTAAATGCTTTCTTGTATAAGAATTGTGGTCATGGTGTCTCTTCATATCAATAGAACAGTGACTAAGACAGAAGTTGGTACAAGGAATGGGTATTGCTGTGACAGGCCCGACCATGCTGTTTGTTGGAGGAATATGAAAGACTTTGGGATTTTAGATTAGAAAAGTGATTGAATGCTCTAAGCGGGACTTACTGGGCCATCCTGGTAGGAGCATGGACAATGGTGCTGAGGGTGATATGAACTGTGATGGCTCAGTTCAGGAAATTTCAGAAGGGAAGAATATTCACAAGTGGCCTAGAGACCATTCTGTGATATTTTGGCAAAGATGAGGCTGCTTTTTGCCCCTGTTCTAAAAATTTGCCTGAGGCTAAATTGAAGAGTTTTTAATTAATGGTGCTGGCAGAGGAGATTTCAAGACAGCCTAGTATTAACTGTCATGTGGTTATTAGTTGTCACTCTTGTGCAGATTTTATGCAAGCTGGACAAAGAGAAATACAGAAATCTACAGTTTGACGAGAAAAGGAGCAAATAGGAAGTGTAACAGAGCTAAGTCCAGGGCTCAAGGAGATAACAAGTTTAAAGAAAAACCTGATGCTAAGTGAAATAAAGGCAGCTGTGATCTCACAGAAAGACCCACCCAGCTAAGTTTCCAATTTGTGAAAAGGAATTAAAGGAACCCTTAAGCAGTGAGGGAAACCACTAAAAACAGAAATCTAATGCAGATGTAACTGAACAAGGGAGCCATGTTCCAGCTCAAGCCAACAGCAGAACCTGGCAGTTTTGGCCACGTCGTGGTTCTGGCTTTAGAGTCAAGGATACAAGAAGGGGTTGTAGAATCTCCCTCCATGGCTAAGCTGCTGAGGCTAGGCACATGTCAGGGGTGTCCCTGCCTGCAGACCCAGAGAGGCCATTGGATGAAGCTATGAAGGTGATGCCTGAATTGCATTGGAGACCTTAAGATGTTAGAGATGCCAGTTGTGGGATACCTGACAAGGAGAGCTGCAGACTGGGTATGGAACCAGCCCAAGAGAGACAAGTGTGTTGTAGTGAACAAAGCTGGAAGGAGCTGGAGATCTGAAGAGCTTTGACATCAGACATGGAGATGCAGAATCTAGAGTTTGTCCTACTGGCTTTTGGTCTTGCTTTGGTGCCATATTTCCTTACTATGCTCCCTCCCTTCCTTCTGGAGTGGTAATGTATTTTCTCTGCCATTGTATGTTAGAAGTATGTGATCTGCTTTTGTTATTTTGATTTTACAAGGTGTTATAGTTAAGGGATTGCCTTAAGTCTCAGAAGAGACTTTGGACTTTTAAACAGGGTTGAGTTGTTATAGACTATGGAGACTTTTGGAGTTGGACTGAAAGCATTTTTTTCATTATGATACGGCTACAAGCCTGTGGGGGCCAGGGAGTACAATATGGCGTTTGAGTAAAAACCCAAGGCTCACAGGTGTGGCCTTGTTGGAGGAAGTCTGTCAGTTGGGGGTGAGCTTTGAGGTTTCAAAATCTAGTCCCTCCCACCTTCCACTTGCAGATCAGGATGTAGCTCTCAGCTACTGTTCTAGTACCATGCTTGCTGCCATGATGATAATGGACTGACCCTCTGAAACTGTAAGCAAGCCCCCATTAAATGCTTTCTAAGAGTTGCCATGGTCATGGTGTCTCTTCACAGCAATAGAACAGTGACTAAGACATGGTCTTTACACGATACATTTACTGGCTTCTAAGAGCCTGAGCATTTTCCCAGCTATGTTCCTCCAACACTGGCATACTAACAAAGGTAGCTAACACTTTTGAGATTCATGGAGACCCAGAGCTAAACATTGTTAAAGCACAGATCCCAACAGAGACCCATGGCCTATGGCAGGCTCTGCTGGGTCTCAATGCCTGCTATTTCTGCCTGGTATGTCCAGGCCTGTTTTCCTCTGAGAGAACATGTTTCTTCTCCCCCTCCAATACTCTTTTGTTCCACAAGTATCTGCTTTTGTTTCTGCCTGAACCAACAATACGTTTACTCGAGATCTCTATGCTAAGTTTCCCTTTCACAAAAAGGATTATAAAAAACAATCCCAATGAACAATAAGATTCAAAAATTTGGATTTATTAAAATATATCTTATGTGTTGTGGGATGTCCTGTATGCTGTGAATATATGTTACTATGATTGATTGATAAATAAAACACTGATTGGCCAGTAGCCAGGCAGGAAGTATAGTGTAGGTGGGACAAGAAAGAGGAGAATGTTGGGGAGAAGAAGGCTGAGTCAGAAGACGCTGCCAGCCACCACGAGGAGAAGCATGATGTAAGATACCGGTAAGTCACGAGCCATGTGGCAAGGTATAGATTTACAGAAATGGGTTAATTTAAGATATAAGAACAGATAGCAAACAGCCTGCCATGGCCATACAGTTTTATAAGTAATATAAGTCTCTGTGTGTTTACTTGGGGGACGCTAGTGGGAGAGATTTGCCCTGACTGCCGGCAGCCCAGGACACAGGAAAACCTCAGCTACACTTATGTGTGATTATGAATCCATAGACTCTCTGTCTACATGATTATTATTTGTTTTTTATATCATGTACTTAGTACAAACTGACTTATATGTAAGCACTCATGTAAACTAAAGTTGTCAAACTTGACCCAACTTCATTTTGTTCATAATAAGACTGAAATGTTAAGAAACAAAATAATGGCTGGGCAGTGGTGGCGCAAGCCTTTAATCCCAGCACTTGGGAGGCAGAGGCAGGTGGATCTCTGTGAGTTCGAGGCCAGCCTGGTCTACAGAGTGAGATCAGGACAGGCACCAAAACTACACAGAGAAACCCTGTCTCGAAAAATCAAAAAAAGAAAAAAAAAAAAATAACGATAAAAGACAAAAATATATTTAATCAATGTGATCACATAGGTAAAACAAATAGAGATACCTAATGACCCTGAGTCTTTCTTTGGGCAATTAACATGAATTTTTAAATTTAAAATCTGCTTTTAAGGATAAGATATAGTCAAGAGCGGGGCGGTGGTGGCGCACGCCTTTAATTCCAGCACTCGGGAGGCAGAGCCAGGCGGATCTCTGTGAGTTCGAGGCCAGCCTGGGCTACAGAGTGAGTCCCAGGAAAGGGGCAAAGCTACACAGAGAAACCCTGTCTCAAAAAACCAAAAACCAAAAAAAAAAAAAAAAAAAGATATAGTCAAGATATTATCTCCTTAATCCTTATCTTAATTCTGGTTCTATAACATGGCCCTATTGAGGATATAAATAACTAAGAGATAAATAACACCTTGCTGGAGAGGTGGCTCAGAGATTAAGAGCACATACTATTCTTTAAGAGGACCAGAGTTCGATTCCTAGCATCCATATCAGGTGGCCCACAACTCCAGTTCCAGAGGTATCTGACACCTCAGCCCTCTAAGGGCACCTACACTCACATGTGCATACCTACCCACAGACAAACCCATACACATAATTGAAAATAATTTAACAATTTAATGTTTCAAGAGATGATTACTCTTACTTCAGGATGTATCTTCCTATTAGACAATTGCCCTCCCTTTACATAAGAGTAACTCATATCTATGCTTTTGAATACATTTTGTATATGAATGAATGTATATAGAAATGAAAACATTTAAAGTATACTTTTGACTACTACTACCTTTTTAAAAACAAACGGCCGGGCAGTGGTAGCCCACGTCTTTAATCCCATCACTCAGGAGGCAGAGACAGGTAGATATCTGAGTTTGAGGCTAGCCTGGTCTATAGAGTGAGTTCCAGGACAGCCTGGGCTACACAGAGAAACGCTGTCTTGAAAAACAAACAACAACAAAAAACCCCTAGTATCTATTTCTTAGAATATAGGGTTTCTGACCTATCTTCTATGTTAAATCACTGCCGTCTTCATCCCTTTTGCCCTGCTGACCTAAAATAATCATAGTGAGACTTCTTTTTCTATTCTTTTTTTTTTTTTTGGTTTTCCAAGACAGGGTTTCTCTGTGTTGTTTTGGTGTCTATCCTGGATCTTGCTTGTAGACCAGGCTGGCCTCGAACTCACAGAGATCCGCCTGGCTCTGCCTCCCAAGTGCTGGGAGTAAAGGTGTGCGCCACCACGGCCTGGCCCATAGTGGGACTTCTTAAATGTCAATACTCCTTCACAAAAAGAGGAGATAAACAGGCCATGTGTGGTGGTTGAAATGAGAATGGCCCCCATATATCCAAATATATTCAAATGCTTGATTCCCAGTTGGTAGAACTGTCTGGGAAGGTCTAGGAGGTATGGCCTTGTTGGAGGAGGTATGTCACTGGGAGGGTGTTTGGGGGCTTCAAAGCCCTCACCAGGCCCAGTCTTGGACTCTCTCTCACTTCCTGCTACTTGCTAATCAGATGCAGTTCTCAGCTACTGCTCCAGCACCAGGCCTACCTGCGGCCATGCTCCCTGCCATGATGATAATGGACTAATCCTCTGAAACTTTAAGCAAGCCCCAATTAAATCCTTTCTTTTATAAGTTGCATTGGTCACGGTGTTTCATCACAGCAATAAAACAGTAACTAAGACACTATCCCAGCCAATTTTATGTACACAAAGGGCAGAGGATCCATCTATGTGCCTGTAAAAAGAGCCCTCACACATACCGAGTAAAGACTTTTCAGTGACTGCTTCTGAGTCACGCATCAGCAAGCCCTTACCAATTCTCTGTAAGTAACCTCAAAAAACTCACTGGTTTCTTCAGGGTGAACGTTAATGAAATTGAACTTTAGTTTGTCATTAGGAACTTATAAGGAAGAGATAGACATTGCTTAGTTTCCCTCTAAAGGAGGGAAGGGGGGGAAATCTCATAACACATAGGAAATTCATTTGTTAATGCCATTATGTCTCATGGTATTAAAAGGATATAAAGATGAAAGTGTTTTAATTATTATATATATAAAAGCTAAGATGGCTGGATGTCTCCAGAATGGAAAAGAAAACTAGAAAGTTTTTGAAAGTTATGAAGTTCTCAGTGTGGTATTTAGGGTATACAAAGGATGAGATTTATAGATAAAATATATGATATTAACATTTCTAAGGTTAAAGATCAACAATTACAAGGACTAATTAAAATGTATGTCTAATCAAAGTTTATTGAAAATGTCAGACTTTTAAAAATATTTCATAGTAGTTAAAAGTACCAGATTGATATATGTGATCTGGGTATTCAATAACTATATTTGGGCTGGGTGGTGGTGGTGCACGCCTGTAATCCTAGCACTCAAGAGGAAGAGGCAGGCAGATCTCTGTGAGTTGAAGGCCAGCCTGGTCTACAAGGCCAGTTCCAAGATGCCAGGACTACTACACAAAGAAATCCTGTCCTGAAAAACCAAAAAAAAACAAAACAAAAAAAAAGTATTTGGAGGCACATATTAATATAGCCAGAGGGACTAAAACGGAGAATATTCTCCCCCTTGCCTTTCAAGGATAACTAGGTCCTGGGGTACTGTGGAACATCCCTTGAAATGTTCTGTAACCATAGGAAGTCACCTGCTTTCTTGTTCAGAGAAACCATGGAGACCCCATCTGGTATATTCTAACCAGTGTCCAGTCTACAAAGAGGAAGGTCAACACAGAGGAAAACTTTCCTCCTTACTTCCAAGTAAACAATGGTCAGGAAAGGCCTTTGACGTAGATGGACTAGAGACTAGAGGAGCCAGGAGGTTCCTTCTGCACCCAGACGGCCCCTTAGGACAGGATCCTCAATTAGCCCTGACAGTACAAAAACAAAGATTAGGGGCTGGAGAGATTGCTCATCAGTTAAGGACACTGGCTGCTCTTCCAGAGGTCCCGAGTTCAATTCCCAGCAACCACATGGTGGCTCACAACCATCTATAATGGGACCTGATGCCCTCTTCTGGCATTCAGGCATATATGCAGACAGAGCACTCATACATTAAAAAAAATAATTAAATTCAATTTTTTAAAAAATTAATTTTGGCTACTGACATGGTGTTAAACATCCAGCAGGAAAGTGTAGCCAGAATTAAAATGATCAGTGTGTTTAACAGTTTAAGGGATTGCAGTCCTCAGCGATTACACTTAAACACATGAAATGTTATTTGGATACTATTTCTCACTAACAGTTCTCTTTCTGATAGGATAAGACCTCCCTTGGCGTCCTTCAGCACAGCAGTGTCTATCTACAGCTGAGCAAACAGGCCTATCACCTTAAATACTGACGTCAAACCTAAAGTTTGTCTTTACCAACTATGGAACGCTATCTCTTCTCACAGCTGTGACGTGTCTTTCTGGACCCTACCCACCCTGAGTTAAGGAGGCTACCAGGTACTCTGTCATCAAATTTACAGGCTTGGAAAATTATTCAGGATGCTCAAGTGGTGTCCTAGGGACATTGGCAGACAATCCTAGAAAAAAAGGACCCAGGAAGATTCAACATCTCTTTTAAATTGTCAGTTAAATGCTGACTTTGACTGACTTCTCTTGTTCTTTATGTAGGAGTCTGATGCAATAAACAGCTGGTCACAGTTATCCTGCTACAGGGCTCTGGTGCATGGTTCAGACAGTTGTACAATTATATTTCACCCTACCAAACAAAACTACATTAAAAAACTTTCCTCATTAACTTTCTCTCTCTCTTTCTGTTGTTTGTTTGTTTTGTTTTTGTCTTTCAGGACAGGGTTTCTCTGTGTAACAGCTCCAGCTGTCCTGGAACTCTTTGTAGACCTGGCTGGCCTCAAACTCACACAGATCTGCCTGCCTCTGCCTCCTGAGTGCTGGGAGGAGGCATGCATCATCACCGCCTGGCTAACTTTGTCTCTTAATGTTTCCCACAAGGTTGTAAAAAAGGAGATCTGATGGCTGATTCTGAAATTATGCTGGCCAATGACAAATGTGTGAAGTTTCCCATCAAACCAGTGGCCTTACATCCTGTAATTGACTAGTGACAAAAACCATTGATCTTGCTAACGCCTCTGATAAAGCCCGCCAAAGGTCCTTGAGATGGTTTTCTTGCCTGTTCACTTCTTCTAATAAGGGCAAAACTGCTCAACTATTTAACTATACTCTCAGTAAGAACTAAATAGTACTAGCAGCCTCACTTTTTTGTTACAAATGCTACCTCACTCATATACCACAGTCCAAGGATGCATGCTGTCACCAAACATCTGTCTTATGTTCTGGACCTTTGCCACCTGCTGAGTTTTATGTAGCTCCTTAGACTGACCCTTCTCGGAGGCACTCTTTGCTGCTGTCTTTTACAGGCCCCCTTTGCCAGCTATAAGGCAGTTAGGTGGTCTGTGTACCAAACCCCTAACAGCAGTCAGATGATTTCTAAAAAGGGACTGATGGATCATCCAACTCATCCTTCTTGCCATTCTGGGCATTTTTTCTTTTAGAACTCAGAACAATAGCTGGACTGCATTAACTTCTGTCTGGCCAACTCTCATAAAACCTTAAAGAAATTTCAGATCAGCTTAATATCCTTCAGGACCAACTCGTTTCTTTGGCTGCCAAAATTAAAGAGGATATGTTGTCCACCCCTCTACCCCACCCCACCCCGTATTTGTTCTTGGGGTCTGGAGTGAAGGGTAAATGGACCTAAAAGCCTCGGGTGAGCTGAGAAACTCTGGACAGGTAAGCTGAGAACATCCGCAGGCAGTATAGAGCTGGGAGCTCCTGACAAGGTCCTCATATCAACCTCTGTTGGTATTTACAACTTTAAGAATGAAAGAGAATCTATCTGCAGATGGAATCTTCTACCCCAAAAGTTCCCTTTTCTGCCTGTGTGCAGTCTCCACTCCAATGGACAATCTGCTTCTATAGAAGTCAGTCTCCTTTATTTTCATGTCATTTCTTTGATCAATCCCGATCTAACAGACTAGACAGGTAAGAAACCAAACCAGGTAGAGAGTCTCAGGGCCAGATGAACTCACCGCTCATGCTCTTCCTGGCCCTTGTCAGGCTCTCGGTCGTGGTTGGTCAGGGCTGAGAAGCGCTCTGTATCCATTGGCTTGGGCCATGGGGGCGGGGTAGGAAAGGAAGGTGGTGCCCGGTGCAGCCGGTTCCAGGCGTCATGGGGGCTGGGCAGGCCAAGCAAAGCTGTGCCCTCCTTGGGGGCAAAGATGCTACTCCCTGGTGCTGAAGTGGGAAATGAGGACAGAGGGCCAGGAGTGTGAGCTGGACAAGATGCCCCTCAACACTGCACATTGCCCAACCCTAACAGGCTGTGAGAAGCCTTAACCTAGAGGGAGGTCAGTGTGCAAGACAGGAGGGTAAGGGGCAGTGGAATGGATGTGGCCGGTCACTCACTCAGTGCGTGGCTGCCCAGACCTCCAAAAGCGTGGCTGCCCAGGCTCCCCAGGCCTCCAAAGGTGCTGGATCTGCTGAAGGGGTCTGCAGGGGGTGAGGGGAAAGCAACAAGGGGTCAGGAATCTGTAAGGCTTCCACCCTGCCCCAGACTGAAAGGGTGGCCCAGGAGGAGCTTCTTAGTCTGGGCAGGTGCCACCCATATTGATCTGAGAGGTCGTGAGACCTCCTTCCCACCCATTCACATCCCTCCTTGAGGTCTGTGGAAGATGCATCTAGGCTTCTCGGTCACGTACCTGTCAGATGACCAGTGGGCAGGAAGCTGCCATGATGAGCTGAGGGTCCAAACGGGTTGGTGGTTGGATGAGCGGCACCTAGATGGAGGGTAGCCAGGTTGACAAGAGCCCCCAGACCTGGGACCGCCTGCTGCTAGTGGTGGGTCACAGGTGGAGCCAGTTTACTTTGGGAGCCTCCATCTCCCATCCTCTCACTTCTACATCACTCTACAGGTGTATGGTTATATCATGAGGTTGGAATTTAGTCGGCTCTCCAGATCTGGGGCCGCAAGGTGGTCAGGGGCAGTAGTACTGACTGTAGCAGAGCTCCCCAGAGAAAGAAGCCAAGATGTGGATAAAAATGGAGAGGGAAGGCCCAAGTAAGTGAGCCACAATGGGACTGATCCCCAAGGTAGCTACCCCAAGGTTTAAAATGATCCTGGCTTAACCCAAGGGAGGCAGGTAGTCTCGGGTCCATAGTTTTGGGTACAATTTCTATTTTTTTTTTTAAAGATTTATTTATTTATTTTTTATACAGTATTCTGCCTGCATGTATTCCTGCAGGCCAGAAGAGGGCACCAGATCTCATTACCGATGGTTGTGAGCCACCATGTGGTTGCTGGGAATTGAACTCAGGACCTCTGGAAGAACAGTCAGTGCTCTTAACCTCTGAGCCATCTCTCCAGCCCCAATTTCTATTTTCTAGCTAAATGGAATTTTAAAATGAGTAATGATTAAGAAACAAAACACCCATGAATGCTTCTATAACTCTTATTTTATTTTTATTTTTTTTTTTGTTTTTCGAGACAGGGTTTCTCTGTAGCTTTGGAGCCTGTCCTGGACTAGCTCTGTAGACCAGGCTGGCCTCGAACTCACAGAGATCCACCTGCCTCTGCCTCCCGAGTGATAGGATTACAGGCATATAACTCTTAAATACCCTGTTGATGGGTTAGAAGATAATACCAGAAAGGAATAAATTTCCTTTCCTGTAGTTTCAACTCAGTCTCAGTAAAAAAAATATCAAATGTCTAGTGGACACTAGGCAGGTTTAAGAAATGGAGAACTTAGCCGGGCGGTGGTGGCGCATGCCTTTAATCCCAGAACTCAGAAGGCACACGTGTGCATACACACAGGCTGAAATAACATTCTCAGAGAGGCCTGAAATTGATGCTGGCCCTCAACTTGTCTACCAATATCTGGGCTCGGACTCTGAGTTTGAGAAGTTCCTTTTATGCCCATAACTGAAATGCAGCACACACTGTGTCCAGACTTTATCATGCTGAGTCTCTTTTTTTTCTGGAGACCTGGGGTTTGAATATATGTCAGGCAGATGTCCCCAATAAACCCTGGGCATCGAGTCTTGTTGCAAAGAGCTCCCAGGGCTGAAAGCACAGAACTCTACACTGCCATGCACTTAGGGAAGGCTGGGACACAGGCTGTTGGGAACAGCTCCCTGCATGTGGAGACAAACAAGATACTGTCCTGAGTGTGTTGAGCTTAGAGAAGATAAGGCCCCAATGATGAGGGATGCCAAGATGAGGAGGGACCAGGTCACCAAGCATCCAGTAATGTGGGGTAGAGGCCCAGGTGATACACACCGGTTAGGGCCTCTATGAACTAGCACCAGGGTGCCAGGGTACATGGGCTGGCTTTGGGAAGTTTAGGGACTTGGGCTTGGGACCAGCAGAAGATACAAAGAACACTGAGCAAGGGCCCTGGAGAGTTTTCTTACTCCCAACACAGGATAAGATGGATGTTTTGACCCCACTCAGACCCCTGATGCCAGCTACCCTTGGTCTCACCTGTGCTGGAGAAGAGGGGCCGGGCCAGGTCCTGTGGGTAGTGGAACCCAGAGAACATGCCTGGGGCAGGAGGCCGGCTGAACAGGTCCAGCTTTGTGCCAACCTCCAGCTTGTGGGGGTCCAGCTGCATCTGCAGGGGGACAGAGTGTGTGCCAGGGCTGTGTGCAGGGGCTTGGCCATTGCTCCAGGTAAAGCCTCAACTGGTGGCCTGAACTATGCAGGGACTTCACTGGAGGCGCCTCCTGAGGAACTGTCCATGTTCTGGCAGCCCCAGGTAAGGGGAAGGAAAGGCAGATTTAGTGGGTTTCATCTGGGACAGAAAAACCAAAACCTTACTGTAGTATAGTATGCAATGCATGGAGTCACAATGACATGAGTCACAATGACATGCTCCACTTTTATATCATAGCTTTCAATCGGGTATCCTCTTTATATAGCATATTTGCATGTATCATTTCACAGAAAAATATCTTCATTTAGAGTCACAAAATTCAGTTGGAAAAGCATTTCCACAGACCTAAGTTGTTTCAAATATGATTGTTTTCCAAACAGGAATCTATAGCAGTAAGATGGCTTAGCAGGTAAAGGTTCCTGCCACCAAGCCTGAGGACCTGAGTTCAAACCTTAGGACCCGCATGGTAGAAAGAGAAATCCAACTCCTACAAGTTGTCCTCTGACCGTCACATGCATGCCATGGCACACATGCATTACATGTGCAGATGCACACACACACACACACACACACACACACACACACACACACACACACACATACCATGACCCTATTAAAATTATATAGACCTGAGGTGCCTTTCCTCCTTTGTGTTGGCCATCCCTTGAGGGCTCTGTGGCCAGAGACTGCACTGACTGTGACTCTGAAGACCACAAGGACAAGGTCACTGTCCTACCCTTGCCTGTATGACCTGTCCTGTCACACCTTGCTATGGCTAGCATTTGGGGGCTCACGTTTCTCCCACTTTCTAAAGTATGTTACTGAGTGTGTGTGAGGGTGGTGTTTGCACATCACCATGTGGAGTGCTCTGTGCTAGGTGGGGACAAGTGCAAGGTGTGTAGACCTTATTATGTCTATAGCTGCCAATCCAACCAGGGTCACAAATTAATCTTAGCTGAGTGAGAACCAAGCCCTTATCCCCCAAGGTATCACCAGGGATTGCTCAGGGATCACTGTGGGCACACCCTAAATTTTACCACTCCTGTCCTGAAAATCCACACTGCAAGCACCTGTCCACCTCCACCTAAGCATGTGCACTGGAATATAAACAGCACTCTCTCACGAGTCCCTTCCTGTTGACTTCTTTAAGGTCTTTTAGGAGATAATGATTTTTACAACTGCACACAAAGGTCCAGTGCATCATGGGTAACATCTGTATTGCAGACTACTGTCCTGATTGTAAAGACCTTCTCCTACTCCCAGCCCCACCTATCATCTGCCCATCAGACACCTGTGCACATGCATGTGGGCCTCATCCCTGGCCTTTGCATTGTCTTCCCAACCCAGGTTCCTCCCCGGCAGTTCCATGAGTCCTCCTCATTGCAACCTTGGAGCTGGCCAGAGCCTCTTATCACACACCCTAGAGTCCTCCCAAATGGCCCCACCAGGGAGGCCCCAGCAGTGCACCCGCCTGGCCCGGCCTCACCTTCATCTTCTGCTGCTGGTGGTAGATCTGCCAGGCGATCTGCACGTGTACCGCACACCACTTCCCTGGTTTCTGTGGCAGGACCGGGATGTGCTCAGAGAGCCCAGCACCTCTTCCCAGGCCTCATCTTCCCCAGATTCCTACCATCAGGACCACCCCAAGGCCACCCAGGAGAGAATAGGAGTCCTTCCCAGCCACAGCCCTGGGTGTGCTTCCAACTCCTCTTCCCAACATGCACTCACTCACCCTGACTGCTGTCCGGTATGGATCAGACACCTGTGATGAACAGGAGAGCTGGGTCATGTCCAGGCTCTTTGGGAGCACAGGCTCAGGGTTGGGAGAGACAGCACCTGAGTGTATGCTGCCAACTACATGGGTGAATGTCAACACCTACCCCAGGGGCTTTCTGCAGGAAAGTGTGAACCGCACTGGCCCGGCCCGTTATCTCGATTGAGTTTGAAGTCTGAAGGCGCAGGGGGAGAGGGAGAAAGAGCATGAGCAACCCATATGCTGAGGAGGAAGGACACAGGAGGCCTCTTGGGAGTCCCAAGTTCTGGGATGGACCGTGCTTCGGTCTGCTGGTGGGACCCTGGACACTGTTACCTCAGTCTCATCATAGGACCACCTCTCCTTTATTCAAAAGGGTTTGCCAAGGCAGAAAGACTGGCTTATGACACCACTGGGGATAGCGACTGCCTCACTGTGAGAATGTGGCACCTACACACCATGGATAAGACAGTACTTAGGGGAAGGCCGTAACCTGGTCCTCAACCCTGGAGACTTGGGGAGCTGCTGCACGGACACAGGTGAGCTTAAGTGAGATGGGGCCCACGTTCCCTGTTTGGAGGGAGAGGCCATGGAACCTCTCTGCTCAGCTCCCAGCTCTTCCCTTCTGGGTAAGATGATGGGTTTGGATACCGTATCAAGTGGGCAACTCCAGCACTGCTCAGGCGCAGGCTGACTGCAAACAGGCCCCCAACCAGCAGGGGTCGCTCATTAATCTAAGGCCAGGTTGCAATAAAAACTGGAGCTACTCTGTAGCCCTGCCCCATGCCCTAGACCCACCCACCTGCCAGTCACCTCCCTGCCAGGAACAGCTGTACCTTGGGCTGAAAAGCGCCCTGCAGGGACCCAAAGGGGCCAGGGTGTGCAAGCAGGGTGGGAAGCCCAGGGCCTGTGGGAGGGAAGGGCGGGAAGAGCTGCAAGAGAGAGACAGAGTTCTGGGCTGTGGGCCCCATGGTGGAGGGCCCTTGAGCACTGCTTCTCCCTCCCTCAGCATCCAGAAGGGAGCACCAAAAAACCTGCAGCTTCCCACACCCCAAGCAGACAGGAGCTGGACCTGCGCACAGGGACTCACGTTGGAATGTCGGAAGTAGGGGCTATCCAGCTTGGGTGAGAACTTGTCAAACTGCAAGGGAAGAAAGCACGGGTGAGACTTCCAGTATAGGCCTAGTGCCCTCCATTGGCCCAGAATCCACCCGCAGCTGGCATGCTCTCAGGTGGCTCCTTGAGCACTGGCCTCGGGCCCGCTGGGGCCCAGGCTCCTGGTTCAGAGAAGTTTGTGTGTGTCCAGCTGAGGCTCTAGGTAGAGAAGGAGGCATGAAGCCCGGGGCTGCGGAGGTAGGGTGGGAAAGCTGTAAACAACCCAGGCTGCTGACAAAGAGGAAATGGCTGCACTCTACGAGGTGGAAATGGACTACGGGACACACAGAGAGCTGCAACAGACTGGTCCTTGCAGCCAGTCCCGTCTAGGCTCCAGACCTGGTGTCAGGTCTAAGACCCAGCATGGCAGTGGGGTCTACACATACACAGGCAGGAGACACCGGGACTGCCTGCTCAGGGCCTATGTGCGTGAGAGTGAGTGTGTGTCTGTGTGTGCAGCTGCCTGTCCCACCCAGCCCGCCCCGCCAGCAGCCAGCACTCAGGCCTACGCACCGGCGAGGGTGCGGTGGGCGGCATGAGCGGCGTCGGGGGCAGCCCCGCGAAGGGAGCAAATGTGTGTTGGTGCTGGTGTGTGTGCTGGTGTGTGTGCTGGTGCGTGTGCTGGTGCGTGTGCTGGTGGAACTCGGCCCGCAGCAGAGCCCCCGGGCCCAGGGAGGCGCTAGGCCGCTCGGCGTTCTGCACCAGAAACCGCGTGTTCAGCTCTTGCCTGAGCAGTTCGTGATCTACAAGAGAAAAAGAGAGAGAGACGGAGAGGCACGTCGGCCGCGGGCTCCCAGTGGGGCGAGGCGGATAGTCACCTGGCACTCCCGGGGTCGGCAGGCCAAGCCGTGGTGGCCGCTCACTACGTGCGGGCCCAGGGGTGGAGGTAAGAGAGGAGCCTGTGACCAAGTACCAATCAGAATCCCCGAATGAGGCTGGCAATACATGATTGGCTGGTTGAATGAGATCAACAGGCTGGCATCTAGAGGCAAGGAGAGAAGTTGGTGAGCCCTGTCCCATGTGGCCCATGGTCAGGGCTGGGATACCTGCCCTCAGGCAGAGTTCCTGTCCCCTGCAGGATGGCTGGCTGACTCCATTCGGAAATCCTCCAGAGATTAAAAAATTAGTTAAAGTTCCAGCCAGAGGTAAAGGTAGGCACTTGTGCCCCACTCGGGGTCTTCTGGAAGTCGGGAGCAGCAAAGGCATGGTCGGGGCTCCCTGCACATGACCTGTGAGTCCGCTAAGACCCAACCCCCGGGAAATGGTCAGCCCACGAACCTCCTGAGATCTTCACCTCTTCCGTCTTGTCCCAGGGCCCCATCAAGGTTAAGCATGCACCCCTGGGCGTAATACCTACCGGCGGGGTGTCCTGGGATGACCAGGCTGCTGGCAGGCAATGCCGGGGGCGGGGGCAGTGTTGCGGGGGCAGCGAACATTGCTGCGGCGTGGTGCTGGTGCTGCGCCTGGGACCTGAGCGCCAGGTGTGAGGTAGACAGGTGGGGGCCAGGGCCGTGTGGCGACAGTGTCACGTGCTTCGCCAGGCCCAGAGGGGTGCCGCTGACCGTGCTGCTGCTCCTGCTGCGGGACACAGGACTCAGTGACATCCTTTCTCTCAGAACCTGATGTCCCGTAGCCACACCCCCTTTCCAGGGCCAGCGGTGCCTCCCTCGGTCCTGAGGTGGGTAGAAGTCACAGCCCCACCCCAGGACAGTCTCACCCACTCCCCACCTGAGGCTGTGCAGGTGCAGGCTGTTGGGTGCCACCTGGCCAGAGCCAGGGCCCACAAAGGCGCCCAAGGACAGAGGCACGTGTGTTGGGAGTGAGCCGCGATGCTGCGGGGTGAGCGGTGGCTGCGGGACGTGGTGAGGTACTATGGGGGCTTCCCTCTTCACCAGGGGGCTGGCCCGAGCTCCTGGCAGAGGTCCTGAGGGCGCCGGTGCTGTGGCAGGCAGGAAAGACTCAGTGCTGAGCTCACGGCTGCGCTCCAGGCCTGACACCTTGGGCACTGCCCCCGCCTTGGCCTCTGACTTCTCACCTCTTCCAGAGCCTGCAGAGAAAGGGTAGGTGTGTTGTTAGACCTGGTCTTATGTGCCCAAGCACCACCTGCCACAGTGCTAAAGGTCCTGTGATGACCCCTACATTCGATGGGGAACCATGAACAGAAATAAGTCATGCATATTCATTACCTGAGGTCACACAGGTGAGCTCAGATGTGTGGCGTCCTCCTCCCAGGTGCCCAGCCCCAGGTCCTTTTCATAACTCCAGAATTCTAGGCCCCAAAGTAAGGTCATGGTATAAGGCTATAATAACCCCATTTTTAAAGTTGTTGTGAGGTTTGTTTTTCTTCCTTATCTTTATTTTATGTGAGTGAGTGTTTGGCTGCATGTATACCTGTACACCACCAGATTGCCCGTGGAGGCCACAAGTGGGCAACAGATCACCTGGAACTAGAGCTACAAATGGTTGGGAGCCACCATGTGGGTGTTAAGAATCGAACCTAGCCGGGCGGTGGTGGCGCACGCCTTTAATCCCAGCACTCGGGAGGCAGAGCCAGGCGGATCTCTGTGAGTTCAAGGCCAGCCTGGGCTACCAAGTGAGTTCCAGGACAGGCGCAAAGCTACACAGAGAAACCCTGTCTCGAAAAAAAAAACCAAAAAAAAAAAAAAGAATCGAACCTAGTCCTTTGGAAGAGCAATCAGTGCTCTTAATCTCTCTAGCCCCTTCTTTTTAAGAAAAAATAAAAAATAAAAAAATAAGTATTTTTTTAAATTATGTGCTTTTAAGGTATGTGTCTTTGTATGGACATATGTGAGTGCAAGTGTCTGAGGGAGAGAAGAGGCAATGGATCCCTCAGAGCTGGAGTTACAGGCATTTGTGAACTGCCTGATGTGGGTGTTGGAACCCAGACTCCAGTCCTCTGATAGAGCAGTATAATTTCCTAACCACTGAGCCATTTCTCCAGCTCCTTGTCTCTTTCTCTCTCTTCTCCCCATTTTCTTCCCTCTCTCCCTCTCTTTCTTGAGACAGGGTCTCTCTATATAGTCCTGGAGCTTGCTCTGTAGACCACGCTGGCCTCAACACAAGATATCTCCCACACCTGTCTCCCAAGTGCTAGAACTAAAGGCATTTGCTACTCTGTCCAGCTCCCTTGTTTTTCTTTAAATATTTTCCTTCACATTGTATGCATGAGCTCATGTGTGCACATGCTGTGGTGACATGTGGAGCTCAGGACAACTTGTGGGGGTCAGTTCTCTCCTCTGTCACGTGGACTCAGGTCTTCAGGCTGCAGCACCGACCACTGAGCCCTCTCACTAGCTCTTGCTTTTGGTGTTGGGAGCTAAGTCTTGAACATGCTAAGCAAGTGCTCTACCACTGAGCTATCTCTTTAACCCTCTTTGACTTTTTATTTTGAGACAGGGTTGCTTTAAGTCACCCATATGGTCGTGAACTCACTCTGTAGCCCACAATGGGCCTCAAATTTTAATCCTCCTACCTCAGCCTCCCAAGTAGCTGGGAAGAGAGGCCTGTGCCACAAGGCACAGCTCTCATGACCCCATTTTGTAGACAAGATTAAGGTTCTACAAGGACTTGCCCCAGGGTTGACACTTGTCCACCTGACTTGACTACTTACTCCCTTGGCTGCAGCATGCATTAACATGCATTCATGCAGTCACATATGCATGCACTGATGCCCACCTCTTTCTGATGCCTGGAGTTGTCAGTAGAAGCTGTCCCTCACATTAAGGCTGCTCTCTTTGCCCCACTGTTTCTTGACCACCATCCCTACCCAATGAGATAAACAGACCCTCCCAAGGCTCCTACTGCTCTTGAGTCTCTACAACTTGAGACCCAGGAGCTGGGCTGGGGATGCACTCACCTTTGTCAGGTGCCGGGGCAAAGAGCTTCTCAGAGCCTACAGATGCCTGAGGAGAGAGAAGAGGCTAACAGGCTGGAGCTGAGTGACTATTACCCATCACCCCAGAAGAACCCAATCCCTGGTGTACTACACACTTCTGAGGGAGACACAGTCCTGGACTTGGCAGTGTGCACACTTGTTTACAATGTTCATAAGGCTCCTCTCCACTTAGAGCAATGGACTTCCTCAAAAATGGGGCATGCATGGTGGCCTTGTGGTGGAATGAGCTGAGCACCAGACTGGCAGGTAGCCCATCTCTGTGCTCAGGGCTCTGCTGGGTCTCGGTCACAGGCTGAAGGCAGAGAAAGGAGAAGAGTCCTTACTGCATACCTCTCCTGTCCAGCCCAGGGCACAGTGCCACTGCTTAGAGTTAGAGAGGGAAAAGGAACCACCCATTCACAGATGTGCAACCCTGTGACATTTGGCTTGACCTTGTCATCTACAAATGTGCCAGGCTACATTCACGTACCAGGTAGGAGATGTGCCCATTCACATGCTGTGGTACAACACCATTCTCAATGTCTATGACTGGCCAAGTTAGGACTCGTGTAGCCCAAGAGTGTGACCACTCCGAGGGTATCTGCTGTTCTCTCTTTTCCATTTCTCCTAGAGAAATGTGTATGTTGAACTGGGCAGGCATTCAGAACTATGTGAGTAGTTAGGATGAGAATGTAGCCATGGAAAATGAACAGAGGGCCCATACTCTGAAGGACTTTGCGGTTTGAGGACACTTGGTAAAAGTGACCCTGGATAGATCTTTCTGTCTTCTTAGATCACTTCCTGAATATGTCCTCAAAAAATTACACTGAAACTCTTAATGTGATAATACAACAGGCAAGTTGATCTGTGGGCAGCAAAGAAATGTATGAAGCTCTGGTGAATGGGACCAGTGTGCCCTTATGATGGGAGCCCTGGAGGACTCCCTGACACTCCACCATGACAGGACACTGTGTGTGCTCTATGATCTGAAAGCATCACACACCAGATATCAGATTATCCTGTGCCCTCCTTACTGTAGACTGCCAGTCTCAGCAGTGAGCTGCGAGCTTCTGCTGTCTATAAGCCTCTGTGCTAAGTCACACACATGGGGTGGGTGGGTCGTGGGAAAACCTCCATGGAGTGGTAGTTTCCCCCACAACCAAGCAAAGAACCTTTCATCAACAAAAAGGAAGCCTTGGGTTTCTAGTTTTCACCTGAAGCCCCAAGACTGTCTCTGGCTCTCCCTGTTCTGCACCTGCATGCAAATGCTGTCATGCTGCATGGGGTTTGTGAAGACCACTGTACCTACCTAGTGTGGTGTGCCTCTTGAAGGCCCCAGACACTGCTTCAAAAAGGGAGCAATTATGAGATGTCATGCATCGGCACAGACATGGATACGCAAGGTGCCTGTGTATGTGCACTGTACATGTGTTTTATATGCATGGGCACTGTACAGGTATATGCACATGCCTAGATGTCAGTTCATGTATGTGCATGAATTTTGGGAGCCTGTACTGTATAGGCATAAGGCTGATGGTATGTAAGCAAGTATATGGGTAGACACATTACTGTACATGTTTATCTATACTGGCATACACAATGAGTGTATGTGTATGTGATTGTGCCAGTAAGGCCTTAGGAAGGTTTGGAAGAAGTGTGCCCACTGGAGAGTGGTGGAGTTTGGTGGATCTGGGGCCATGGACCGGGCTCAAACTCTCCTACTTTATGACTTTAGAAAGAAGGAATTCAGTTACCACTGAATGTGATGGTGCACAGCTTCTGCAGAGAAAGAGGACAGGCTTGCCCCAAGGGAGTTCACGGGAGAAACAGCTCAGGAGAGTGGACTCGAGCCAAGGAGGCCATACATGGAGGACACTTAACACACCACAGGGTAGCTCTAACTGCAACTTCCCCAGCTCAATCCAACAACGTCAGGATGCTTGGGCTGTTGCGCCCTTACTGTCCACAGAACCTCTAAGTGGCCCAGCCCAAGGCCTGGGGTGAGGACACCACAGGGTCAATCAACAGGCAAAGGGGTGGACATAGTATCCAGTCTGCCTACCTCAGCACAACCAGGAGAGCTGTGGACACAGACAATATGATGAACCTCAACTGCCCAAAGAGCACATCCTGTAAGATGCCATCTGCACATTCAAGAAAGTGAAATGCAGCCAGAGGGTGCTGTGACTTGGTGGGTGCTGTCAGAATGCAGCAAATTGGTTTGTTTAGGTGCATCTTATTGGACATAAACTACCAATCCCAAAATCAACCAAAAGATGTAGTGTTAAAGCTTGAACAGGCAACAAAAAAAAAAAAAAAAAAAAAAAAACTTGAACAGGCTTAGGGGGACATCCAAGCATGTCTATGGGAGAGCAGAGAGCTAGATCTCACTATTTTCTATGTCAAAATAACCCAGACAGACCTCAGACAGGAATGTAAGAAAGACTGGAACAGTACAAAGCCATCATGGGTATGAAAATAGGGTCATGGCCGGACGGTGGTGGCGTACGCCTTTAATCCCAGCACTCGGGAGGCAGAGGCAGGTGGATCTCTGTAAGTTCGAGGCCAGTCTGGTCTACAGGGTGAGGTCCAGGACAGGGACCAAAACCACACAGAGAAACCCTGTCTCAAAAAAACAAACAAACAAAAAACCCCAAAACAAATAAAAATAAAATAGGGCCTTTCCTACCCACACCTCCAGAGCTCATGCCACAGAATAGATCCAAGCCTTTGACATCCCTACCTGTACCCAAGGGCTCTAGTAAAGGTCAGGACAGGAAACCACCCTGGATTGCACTGACCATGAACATGCTTAAACAGGGGTCCACTCCCTTCTTTCTGATTGGTAAGGTCAAGAAAAAACCCAGAACCCTGGAGCTATGCAGAGATGGCTCAGTGTTTAAGAGCACTGGCTATTTTTCCAGAAGACCAGGGTTCAATTCCCAGCACCGATATGGTGGTTCACAATCATCTGTAACTCCAGTCCCAAGGGACCTTCTAGCCATGTTGTGCATACATCAGGCAAAGCACCCATGCATATATTAATTAATTTTTTGTTTGTTTGAGACAGGGTCACATTTTGTAGCCCTGGCTGTGGAACTCACTGTGTATACCAGGTTGACCTCGAACTCAGAGATATGCCTGCCTGCCTTTGCCTTCTGGGTGCTGAGATTAAAGGTGTGCACCACCATGCCCAGCTTCTTCTTTTCTTTTCTAGCTAAAAAAGAATACCCCAGAACAATGAGAGGCAGAACCCACAGGGCACTGGACAGAGACGTAGTGACCAAGGAGACAGGGCCCTATCCATGGGCCACTCTGAACACTCAACTTTGTTCTCTCCTGGTGGCAGGCTCCTGTCTTCCATGCTGGGATACTCAATACAAGCTGAGTAACCACAGTTTTGAAGCATAGGGCAGGCCACCTCACCTCACACAGCAGAGTTTTCAGTGTTCCGATCTTGGACTTCCAGTTTCAACAGTGAGCCGTGAGCTTCTATAGTCTATAAGCCTCTGTGCTATGTCACACACATGATATGGAACCAGTGGTGTTCCCAATTCCCTGGAGGTGAAGGGTCTACCTGCCAGGGGTGGGTAGGAAGAGAAGCTACAACCCAACCTGTAGCTCCAAATGTGGTATGTGTGGTTTTTAGTCCTTGGAGGTGGAGCAAGGAGCTTCACACACAGGTGAGCGCACAGCCCAGGCCCAATCAGAGGCCTTTACAACTAATGCCAGTGAGGCCCAGGACCCCCCAAATGACCGAAATGCTGAGAACACTGCCCAGCTCAGTCCTTTTGCCCCATGCCATACTGTGTAGCTGGGGCTTTCCCAACCCTGACTCTCTCTGCCCTTCCTATAGCCACCACAGCTAGTTTGGCAGAGGAGAAGACAGGGCAAACCAAGGTTCCTAAAGGTCGGAACTGTTCTTCCTAATCCTGCTTCTGGGGTGCTGGGAAGAGTGACCACTGTGGGGTCTGCCCTACACAGGGCTCAGAATCACAAGGACCAGTGAGTCAGTCAGTGGATAGGAAAAGTCATGAACCTGCTGAGCAGGTAAGGAAGAACTTATCACTGCTGTCTGCAGACAGGAACACAGGGTCCTGGAGATGACTGGGTCCCTGGCCAAGCATTGCCCCTTATTGCCTTGCCCTGTCTACCAGGACACCCAGGATCCCAGGAGATTCTATCATCACCCTATCAGAGCTAAGGCAGGCCACTTGGTCATCAATTCCTATAATCAAGGACCACTCGGGCTAGCTTAATTTTTACAAAGTTCTTTACAGCAAACCAAATAAGAACAAGTGGCCCCCATCGGAGAAGATCTTAGGCTCACCCCAGACCAGAGCTCAAACTTCTCTATGGCTATGGTGGAATTCTGTAGATTCTCTGACCCTTCCTGTCCCATTCTTCTGCACCCAGCACTGCCACGGTCCCTGCTAATCTCTTTTGGCATCTCATGAGGCCCCTCTGGAGTCCTGTCTGCCAGCATCTGTCCTGTGTCTACAGCCTCCTATATAGCAGCTCTGGGAACCCCAAGTGTTGGTGCCCCGCTACATAACTAGCCCACAAGTCACCAGGGGATGGAAGCCAGCCTCCCTCTGAGGCTATCCTAGGGTCTTCACCATTAATAAAACCCTATCGACAGGCCCTTGCCATGCAGGAATTTCAGCAAACCCATCTTGAACCTCTGCTCTACATGCAGCCTTCAAGTGAGCTTGGGACCCAAGCTACCACCTATAAGCCAGAAAGGAAGAACCCTGACCTCCCAGGCAGGAAAATGAAACAAGCCATCAAGATCAAGATCTGCAATCCTACATCCAACCCAAAAGGCAACTTCCAAACCCCAAGATGTAAGACCTTGTTCCTTGGCACAAATAGTAAGCAGAAAATGAAAGGACCTGAGTTTGGGTGGGGAAGAGTGAGAGCAGGGTGACCCCTGTTCTGTCTGCGTCTAATTGAGACCTAATGATTCCTTAAGGTACCTCTTAGGAATGTTCTGTCCTAGAGTCATACTCCTTGGCCCTCAATCTG